TCAGAGGCCACAACATCTTGGTCTTCATATATTCAATTTTCGGTAATGTTTGAGTTTTCCCTTGAAATTGATCTTGCCACGCATCGCCAAGTGCTTGGTATTGCGATTTGTTAATCACTCTATTCTCCTCTACTTTTGGCCACATACCATGTGCATTTCACTCACACACCTTGTCCGATAGGTGCTCTTGGCACTTGTCGACTTTCTACGCACCAAAGATCAGGAGGTGTTGTTGCATACCGCTCGAGCCATTCATGTGCTGAGTCGAGAGGCGAAGTTCTGCGGCCTGTTGGAGCACGTCGGCATCAGTGAACTATTTGTTCGTATGATTGGCGCTTCGAGTCCTGCCTTTCAGATTGCCGCTGCTGGTACCATCGGGCGCATTTGCAAAGTGGGCCAGAACAGCGAGAGCCTGGCCAGACAGTTGACCTCGGCTCAATGTATGCGTGGCACCGAGATGCGGGCATCACATGAAACCTGACCCGGCAAGAGCGGATCCACCCGTCGGTCCAATAGTATGGGCTATGCTTCGCGATCCCTTCTGGAAGCCATCTTCCAAGGCGGTGTCTGGCAGGCAGGGCCTACTTTCTACTGGTGACCAATGAAAAGTAAGGGACCCCTGCCTTCAACAAATATCTTCCTTCACGTTAAGTCTCACCAATACGGCTTCACCGACATAAGACAGGTCCATTCATCAAATTGAACTGGATGGGACGGTGAAGACTATCTATCTATCCTTGTTGCTTTTCTTCTTCTTCTTCTTTCATTCCATAATGCCTTTACACAGTTTTCCCAAGTTCAGTTTCCCACTTCCTACTGCGATTAATTCTCCAGTTAGAGCGACGAGATTTTAACTTGTATGAGCTCATCTTGGATGTGTATACTTGCATCTTACCGCTACCGTTGGCAGACAACAGGAGAGAAGGAAGGCCGTCTTTCTCTTGATCCCTCCAATTCTGCTTCTAATCGCCTCTGGAGAGGCTTTCGTGACAATCTGGACGTCGATTAAACAATAAGCAATGAACAACCCTACTTGCATACTTGCACATTCATTTATACAACCTCTTTCCAGTCGAAGAAGAAGAGTCATTGGTTTGAACTCTATAAACCCTTCAGAAGGCTCCTACTTTACAAGTGAAATATCATGGTATTAACCACTTATATTGAATTACTCGAATTCTTCCTGGAAAACTGTGCAATACCTGCAGCAAAAGTTTATTTATTCAAAAGGTTCACACTCTGGAGCAACAGTAGCCGTCAGAAAACTGCGTGAAGGGGCAAAATTTGCTTTTCACCATCCGGTTATACTCTCTACCAACATACCTCACTGTGATCTGTGTCCAATCTATACAGTTTTTGCACTTATTCAACGATGCATGGCTGAACGCGAAGTCATAAATAAATCTTTCGTGGAAAGGCTTTAACATCCACCAGTATGTCTTAATGGATAACTTGATAAACCACCAAAAATATGCCAATTTTCCTCGTATTCCATCGAATCTGATCTCAAATTCCCCCACCCTCCTGGTTTTATAACTTTTTTCCTGTATAATTTTACATACCCTTCAGTTATATTCTGTGTAAAACCGAGCCAACAAAGCTATCCTCCACCTTGTGCCGCGAGGCTGCACCACCGGCGATAATAACATATAGAATGATGGAAACTTTGTTCTCTCTATCACAAAGTTCAACTTGTACAAAGTTTTCACCCGCCAATTCGGAACTCAATCTATGTCCCATAATTCTTCGGTCATCATGGTGACCATTTACCGGCGGCAACTGCG